CCCACTCGAACGAATCCGATTTTCGTTTGATCAGCCGTCCCCTGCTCGAATCGCGTTATTGACGAGTCATTGGACGTAACTAAATGCCAGGAAAAAGGAGGAACGGAATAATCCTCATTAGAGGGATTCGATTTCATCATCTGCACAAATTCGAATGCCACGCGTTGTTGATGGTTGAAGATATTTATTTATTGAATAAATGTTAATTTCTATTTCGTAGCGAGATAAATTTTAACTTAAAATGTGTCAGATATGATATATCTGACTGTGAAAAAAATCCTACAGAGTCGACTATATAAAACTTGCTTTATAAATTACTGATATCAGTCACAATACGATATTTATTTTTTTTTTCTACTACATATTTCTTCTAGTTTTTATACATCCATTTAGTTTTTATTATTATTGAATAAATTTGTATGGATCATATCATAAAACATGAGAAAAGATATTTTTTGGAGTGACCAGTTAAATTATTCCTACGATAGAATCCGTTTTTACCACGCGCGAATTTTTGTATATTATGTAAAAAAATTTCCAAGAGTTGTCTTTCCCACTGTGTATAGAACGTGGATTAGGTTATTTATACCGAGAATAATATTTATTAAGTCGTTAAACTACCGTATCTTCGCGTGTAAATAAACACATTGTACTTGACTTTATAATGTGTTATGAGACAGTTCGTATACTTCTTGGAAAAAAACAATCCGTGATTTATTACCGAGATTTATTATAGTCCATAAAATATGATGATTATATTGCCTCTATTTCCCCTCCTGATCACTTTCAATATTATTGTTAGACGAAACATATACACACGCGGACAATACACGTGATTTCCCGGAATGTTTTTACACCATCGAAAAACACGCGAGCCGCGGAATTTCTCGCAGTTCGAATCCAACGCTTGTACCGTACGCTAGCTCGGATAAACGCTCAGTTAAAACCTATAACTTGCTTATTCACAGTTTCCCCGACAGCATCCTATCTCCAAACATACTATTATCGTTGCAACGATACACACTGAAATATTATATATCAGATTAAATGCAACTCGTACACGCGCGTGATGTTTGAAGGTACGTATGTCGAAAATGTTTTATTTAGCTGCATCGATTATGTATAACCGCATCAAAATATCCATTCGTTTATACGTATTAAACGGAATTAACAATGATGTTGTTCATTATCTCTTTGATTATCGCACAGTTCCCGAGTGTTTAAAAATTGCGATTGTAAGCATTCGTATGAACAATGGAACGTCGGATTCATCGTCGGACTTATCACTGTTCGTACTACTTGAAATTGTATATTTTTCGAGTGGCCTTTTCCCACATGCCGGATCGTATTATTAAAGCAATGTAAGAAGACAAATAACAACCAGAATGCGTTCGCGTTTATTATACTTGTTGAGATGTTATATCGAAAAGAAATTTGTCTACATCTAATTACTTATCAAACCGAAACGAGAGCGCGGGAAAGTGAGGGCACGTTGCATACATCGAAATAGTTGCACGATGTAAACGAGAGTGCGGAACGAGCTCCCGTTATACCGGAATCATAATCATGGCCTTAATTAAAAGAGCATTAATTAAAAGCGTGCGCCGCCGCGAGTCTGCAATTAATAATGGTCCAATTTGTTCTCGTTACCCGACAACGCGCGGTCCAGCGACATAGTTTACTCCTCTCGCTTTTACAATGACAACGCGCTGAATACGCATAAATGTTACGAAAAATCTCTTGTGTTTTTTTTCCTTGAAAATATTTTTTGTATTCTTTACGTGTAAAAATATTTCTTGACCGCCTGTAACGATTCAAGACCGACTATGGCAAAAATTCGATGATAACGGAATTCGATTAAATGTCAAAATTTCCTTCGTTAAATTTTCAGGCTATAAATGTAATTTGATGCACGAAAGAAATTACTTAGCGTATATTTGCAAGAACCACGTGTGTCTATTTGCTAAACTGGAAAGCCGGCGATCTACCGTTAACAGGGTAAAACTGGAGGAGGGGGAGGAGGCAGACATAGTACAATATTGACATAACATTAAAATGCGGGCTGCCATCGGCTATTGTTAACAATACAATAAGCGGTTTATATTCATGCGAGATAATCTCATGCTGATAATTACCGATGACGCCGTATTGCGATATGGAAGCGCGATTATAAATAAATAGAGCAATGAACGATTCGTTATAATCAACGATATTATCGAATCGCCGCTATAATGCAGTATGCATTCTTTCACGAACAATCGCGATGTCATCGATGATGTGGTGATACAATCGCGATGCACGTTTTCAAATACCGCAATGTACAAAACAGCGACATTGATTTCGTTATGGAAAGTCTGAAGGGAATCATTAATATTTCGCGGTTGATAACGAACGATAATCGACATCAATCTACGGTTAAATTAATTCAGCGTTTCATTTAATGTCGAATATAAGTATTATCTTTATATATTCTTACAGTTTAATATTTAATTTGTAGTTAGATAAATCACAAATTATATATAAAATAATGTGTAATTTATGTATTATTATTGTAATAAGATTGTATTATCTACATATCACACAATTCGTTATGTATGTATTAATTATCTTACGGTCTTTTTAGCAATCTAAAATCAGAATATTAAATTTTAAATTAATAGCATTTTTAATTGAATCATCTGTCATTTTATGCGAAGTACAATTTCCCGGTGAATATTTCGCGGAGATTCTGCAGAGAGGTGAGTGACGAAGACGCAGCTGGATCATATATTCGGTAGGTTCATTTCAGAGGAAACCATAACATCTGCCTAATTAAGTGCAGCTTTGTCTCTGTTGAACGCTTGATTCTCTCGCAAGAATCTCGCGCGATTCTTAAAATTAATACTCATCTGTGTGCGGTGCAATTATTTGATATTTCATCCGATTTGTCTTTTATTACATCACGTCGGAGAAATATAAATGGTATCGCGAAACATTATCTTATTTCGAATCAGCTCGCGTCAAATATTATATCATAGCGTTCTTAGCCCATAGTCAAAACGACTAAACCAAATTTTCTATAACAAGCAAAATCAACTATATTTAATATCATTAATATAATTTACACGTCATATAAAATTATGCTGTTGTAGAAACTTACCTTCTATGTATAATGATTTTTTTATATTTCCATCTTGAAAAATTATGGACTTATATTGCTTTATACGAGACGCATGCATGAAAGATAATATTTTCTCGCCTCCTTCAAGAAGCCGTAAGACAAACGATACGTCTTTTCACGACAGTCGGCGGTCGCGTTGCTACTTGCTACTGCAGAGCATTGCCACTGCAATCAGCTGGAACGGGCGACTGTAACCGCGAATCCGAGTAGAATACGCCGCGAAGAGAAGTCGCTGTAGCAAAAAAAAAAAAAAAAAAAAAAAAAAAAAAAAAAAAAAAAAAAAAAAAAAATCCACCGTGTAGCCGCATGTAAATGGATTGTTTTAATAACTTTGAAAGCTGCGACGCGCATCGAAGCGTTGCCATCAGAGTAAAATGGTTTTACGCAACAAGCGTGAAGGTGGATAGCGGGGGCGTTTTGTCTCTTCTGAGAGAGTGAGGGAAGCCACTCTTGCGAGAGGAAGAGGATACCAAACAGCCATCTCATTGACGAGGTTTGCACGCGAAGAATGAAACTTTGTCTATGCACGCTCAGAAAAGTCTCCATTAATCTTTGATAATTAATGCGTCGTAATTTTCTCCGCGCGACTTTCTCTCAACAAATCTCAGATAATGCAAGCTGCACAAACAAGTCGCGCAAACAATCATGCATATATTTCTTTTACATTTGCAATATGTAAGATAAAAGAAAATGTAATAGTAAAAATGTAAGCGTAAAGCTTTTTACAAGAGGTATTTACAAGCTCTTCTTTTTCGATTTTCATAAAACCTCGGGGTGCATTTGTTGAGAGAAAATCTCGGATTTTTTTTTTAATAAATAAAGATCACAAAATGGAAAGAGGAATTAAGAAATACAAAGAAAGTAGTGATTCGACGATTGAAGATACCTAGAATTTAGTGATGTAAAGTACAAATGATTTAAGACAAAAGAAAACTAATGTATGTACTATTATGTATTTTTTTGTACAGCAAAGTAGATGTTTAGAAAAAAATGAGATTCCGTGAATTATAAATGCATTATATGTGCACGACGTTTCGCAAGTTTAAAAACTCCGCTTTCTGAAGCGGTTC